GCTGCTTTGCTGCTGCTTTGCTGCTGCTTTGCTGCTGCTTTGCTGCTTTGCTGCTGCTGCTTTGCTCCTACTGCTTTGCTGCTGCTGCTGCTTGGCTGCTGCTGCTTGGCTGTTGCTGCTTGGCTGCCTGCTGCTGCCTGCTGCTGCTGCTTGGCTGCTGCTTGGCTGCTGCTTGGCTGCTGCTTGGCTGCTGCTTGGCTGCTGCTGCTGCTTGGCTGCTGCTGCTGCTTGCCTGCTTTGGCTGCTTTGGCTGCTGCTGCTGCTGCTGCTTGGCTGCTGCTTGGCTGCTGCTGCTGCTTGGCTGCTGCTGCTGCTGCTGCTGCTGCTGCTGCTGCTACTTGGTAGCTGCTGCTGCTGCTGCTGCTGCTGCTGCTGCTGCTGCTTGGTGGCTCCTGCTGATGCTGCTGCTGCTTGGTACCTGCTGCTGTTCGGTAGCTGCTGCTGCTTGGTAGCTGCTGCTGCTGCTACTACTACTGCGGCTGCTGCTTGGTAGCTGATGCTGCTGTTGCTTGGTAGCTGCTGCTGCTGCTGCTGTTGCTTGGTAGCTGTTGCTGCTGCTGCTTGGTAGCTGCTGCTAATGCTTGGTAGCAGCTGCTGCTGCTGCTTGGTATCTGCTGCTGCTGCTTGGTAGCTGCCGCTGCTGCTTGGTAGCTGCTCCTGCTGCTGCTGCTGCTGCTGCTTGGTAGCTGGTGCTGCTGCTTGCTAGCTACTCCTGCTGCTGCTTCTGCTGCTGCTTGGTAGCTTCTGCTTGCTGCCGCTGCCGCTGCTGGTTACAGTTATTGTTGTTGTGGCTGTTGCTGCTGCTGCTGCTGCTGCTGCGGCTGCGGCGGTTGCTGGGGTGGTTGTGTGTTGCCATGTGTTGGCTGCGTTGGGGTCGTATTGGGGGGGCGCTGTTGGCACTATCCTTTTCCCTTGGCCATGGCATGTTGCGATTCCCGGCCTAAAGAGCCCCAGCGTTGTTTATTTGCCTTGCTTTCGCCACCCCCCTCTGGGCCACAAGTTTCCACACTCCCCCAAGTCAACAGCGTCAATGAAGTGAACCCGGACACACGGCACATGCATAATACGCGGCAGATGTGCAACTGGAGGGACCGTGCTGAGCACTGAATCTGCCGTGCTTGGCACGGAAAATAGCCCGTAATGGACATGAAGATTCGTGCTTGGCCCGTAGTGATCATGCCTAGTGCTTGGCCAGGCACCTTGATCTTCAGACATACCTACCTTGGGGCCTCCTCGGAGATGGGCATCAACTGTGTGGCCGAAGCTGGTGCTCGGCTGGCTGCGGAAAGCAATCTCATGTCTGGTCAGGAGCGCGTTCCAGCGGGAATTTCTCTGCTTCCGTTTTTCTGCTGAAGTGAAGAAAAGGGGCACAACAAGAAGCTATTCTTACTTGTCTAGGTGGCGCACAACATTGCGGAGAAGGTGGGTGCGAATGGATGCGAGTGGTGTTAGTCTGTTTGATTGTATCGCTGCGAGCGAGGTCGCTGACGGTTCGAAGCCTACCTTTAAGCGTCAACAGTCCTACACTTTCAAGCCCCACGCTGAGCTTTGAGCGGGACAGAGCGGAAAGCCACATTGGATTGTTTGCAGCACAGTCTTGGTACACCAAGGCCAAAGGCAGGTTTTGCGGAGGCCCATCTTGCCTTGTGAGACATCCAGCTCGAATTCCTTAAGTTAGGCTGAAGACTTTTGCAGACATGGGACACCTAGAACACTTAAGGTTAAAAGCGCCAAAGTTACATGTCAGCACTCATCGTGTGTTGCGAAGTCTCTTTCTGTGTTTTCGTGAAGGTCAGTTCTTCGTTGCAGCGTGGCATCAAGGAGATGAGGAATTTCCGCACCAACGAGCGAGCGTCCGGGGCTTCGCATTGAACATTTGTTCTTCTCATGAAACGGGACAGAGGCCATCGCTTCTAGGTTGGAGGCCATCGCTGTTAGGTTGGAGGC